CTAGTCTCTGGGAGGGGACATGAACTGCTGCAGAGCCGTCAGCTGGATAAGGGCAACCTTGTAGGCTGCAGGTCTCCAGCAGAGCCTGACAGGAACATGCCCAAGCTGGCAGTCCTGCTGAGCCATGCCAAGGATGGGGGTGGTACTTGCGAGCCTGGCCCCATTGGCACGGGGAGAGTGGTACTAAGCCCAGCGTGTGACACCATGAGAAAGCACAAGGGCTCTCTGGCCCACCTAGAGCATCCTTTGACCAGCCAACCCTGTGACATCTCTCCATGCCTTCTCTCTGCTTGGAAGGGGAAAGCAACAAGGAAAAGATGATCCCCTTCTCCATAGCGGCAGGATGGCTCCTTGCGCTGCCTGGTCAGTACCTCTCTCTGCATGCATCCATCTGTCTATCTTCATGCACTTCCATTTTTTCCATCCTAAACTAGCCTTTTCTTCAGAAAAAAACCTGCCTGCACAAGGAAATCTCAATCCGAAGTACAACCCTGAGTCACTGGCTGATCATATGTCCAGCCACAAGAGGCACAGAGATGCGCTGCTGATACAGGCTGACTTTCTTCTTCCATAAGTAGGGAAGATGTTTGCAAAAGCTGCCTCTCAGAGAGGAGCAGAGCTGACGCATCTCTGCAATTTAAGACTTGGACAAGCCTTTTGTAGCCTTGGCCAAGGCAGGTGTCTCAGGCAGGTTGAGTGTTTGCTGAACAGGGTGAAGCTTCTGAGCTCATCTGACTTCTCAGCATCTCTGAGTGATATATAAGTGATGCCCCTGGCCTGGGTCTGACTCTTACCTTCAGACAAATATTCCCAAAATGAGACAATACAAAGAGTTCTCACACTTGAAACTCATTTGTTTAGATAAAAGAAACACCAAAGATTTCTGCTTTCTCCAAGGCGTCTGCTACATCTTCCCCGACCAGCCTCTATTGAGAATTTGTCGATTACTCAAATCTCCACAGCTTTCCGTGGCAGGGAATCTCTTCCCCTCTCCTTCTGGCTCTATCTGCCAACCACTGTGGGTCTTCCAATGTCTTCTTGTCATTCTACCAATTATTCTTCCTGAAATTATCATCATCATTTTTATTTAAGTAGTGCTTTCCCCTGCCTCCCCCCCCCCCCCCCCCGACTTTTCAAAGCTCCCTGGATTTGAGGTTTCCTTATTTGCCATCTTTCAGGGTGGATCAACTGTAGCTCCTTAAATTATGGGGCTTCAATTTTGATCTATATACTGTGGATGGAAAAAAAAAAAAAAAAGGAAGGGCTTTCCATCAGTTTTGTGTTAAATCAATTACTTCTTTTATTAAAAGGGAGCTTATTCTGTTAGTGACTCGTCTGGATTTAAAAGCAAGAAAAAAGAAACATAAATGCCATAATGAAGCAAGAAGACAAAACCTGAACAAATGGCTTGAGCAGTAGCTCACCCCTTGAAAAATTCCTTGCCCAACCTTGGAAAAGGAAGAAAACATACTGTTATTTGGGTGTTGGGTTTTTGGTTTTTCTTTCCACAAGCTGGGCTGTTTTGAGGCTGCATGTAAGACTTAAGTCATAATCTAGAGCTCTGCAGAGCAATGAAGAGGTGATATCAGGCTGGAGATCTGCACTGAGACCTTACAGAGGTCAGGAACTGTTGGGTTTCCTCCTGTTGTGCATCCTGTTGTGTGTGCAGATAGACAAAGGCTTTGTCTGGTTTCTACCACCTCAGTCCAAGAAAATGAAGTGTTTCCATGGTGACCATGGGGTGCTGTGGATGGGTTTGGTGCCTTGCTTGGGTTCCATAACCCTGAGAAACACTCTGTGAGTTGTAGGGTGGGTGCATCTTTGAGTGCTGGTGAGGGCAGAGCACGTTTCCCAGCTCTTATCTTGCCCTTCAGCTGCCCCAGAAAGGGAAAAGGGGGTGAGATGTTCCTGCCCAGTGACCCTGAATGTGGTGTGGAGAGGTGCCATGTGAAGGTCTCAAAGCTTCAGCAAAGGTCCTTCCTTAGATCCTTGACTCAACCTCTGGATACCTCCTGGACCAGGGACCAAGATGGGAGTCTCCTCCCCACCTCCCAGAATGTCTTTTTTTTGGAAAGCAGTGATGGTACTTATGGGATGTAGGAGACTAGTAGCAAGCTGAGAGTCTGATGGGGCCGTGGCACTTTAGGCACAGTTGCCTCCATCCCCAAGAAGACGTGCATGGGCTGAGGAAGGATGATGGCATACAGAGGACCTGTCCTGGGGGAGAGGCCAGAGCACTGTTCTGGATAGCTTCATCTTATTTGCCTGCCTTGCAAAACAAATTACCAGATCTGTTTTTGGAGAGTTGTACCTATCTTTGAAGCACCCGTGGCCTTCATTTTATCATCCCGAACAGCATTAACTGCTTGTTGGGGAGGCATCTTATCAGGCGCATCTCCTTGGAGAGGCTTGAAAGGCTCTTGTCATGCTTTTATTCATGTGTGCTTTGAATTTATAGCTCCCGTTGCCTGGAGAATCCTGCCTAGCTGGGAAGTATATCAGAAGAGGAGATGATGCCCCCATCCTGGCCAGAGCTGATATTAATGTGACTGTTACACCTGCAGCACGGTGCTCTCCTGCCTGCAGTTGGACTGGGCACTGACTCACCAGCAGGACCAGCCGTGTTGCTTTGCAGGAGCTGGTTTCCTGGTATGATAAATGCTGCTTAAGTTGCAGGAGGCAGGGGGCAGCCAAATTGGCACACGGGGTTAGTACTGGAGGCAGAATCTGCTTTTCTTGGCTTCCAGGCTCAAAGCTGATCAACCAACCCATGGTGTCTTGGGGTGAATCTCACCGCTCTGCTTTGTATCAGCTTTCCCATGCCCAAACTGAAATGATGGCTGGGCCTGGGAGGGGACAGAGCTCACAATCACTTCAGCTTTGCTCGGCATCAAACATCCTCATAGCCTCCAAGGGTGGTTTGCTGCCTTCGTCCTGGGTCAGCCAAGTGCAGCAAGATACGGGAACAGCAGTTGTTGCACCCCGCGTGCGGGACCGCAGCACAGAGACGGGGACACTCATTGCACGGTGTGTGGCCAGCAGAAAGGTGACAGCCCTGCATTTGGCCACGGTGGGGTTTGCAAGCCAGCCATGTGCACCAGGACGTCACACGGTCGGTCTTCTACAAACAGGGCTGTGCCCTCGGAGGAGCAGAAAGCCTTGGGCAAAGATGCTTAGCTGGTATAAAGGCTAGAAAAGAACTTGGCTCTGAAACCACGGCAGCCTGCCACTTCCCGCTGTCCGAGAAGCATTGCATCAAGTGATCTCCACACACAAGGAAAGCTGAATGCTTTTGCCAGCTCGCCATGCAGACTCCCCACGGACGCTGCAAGCCAAGCCAGCTTTCTCACCGTCTCCCATGGCCCCCCAGTTGTAAGCGTGAAACCAAGATGGTGAATAATTCTGCTGATGCACAGAAGAGAAAATCCTGTTTTCTCCTCCTGGGGCAGGCTGGCAGGGCTAATGGGAGGAAGAGGCTGTGACAACTTGATTCTGTGGCTGAAGTCAGCAGATCTGGCTCCTGGTCCACATGGGAACAAGCAGGGAGCAGGAGCCACTTTTGCACAGTCACTTCTCGGAGGCGAGCAGGGCTTCAAAGGAAAAATCCTTAGCAGGATGTCGCAACTTGGGAGGAGGAGGAAAAAACAAGCAAACAAAAAAAAACCCACAAGCTCTGTAGGGCTGGGAAATGCAGTCAAGGAATGAGGTTTCCAGAAAGCCTTTGCTCGGTACTCACATCTCTCGGTGCAGATGAGGTAGCAGTGTGAGCTGACACTGGCAATTCCCGAGGACGTTAACGCTCGGTGTGGTCAGCGGGTGCAAGCGTGAGTCTTGCCTGTCCAATGCAGGGGATATCCCCGCTCTGCGGCAGGATGGGGCTCCACCGGTGGCAGTGACACTTAAACTGGGTGCCAGCAGCTGTGGGAAGGAGGGAGTCTCAACTAGCACATGCTGGCACAGGCACAGATAGAGGCTCTGAGATTATCCAACAGCCTGACCGAGCTGTGTGGGTCTGTCTTAAATCCCCTCAGGGATGCAGAGGCTGGGGCATGGGCAAGCATGCACACATGGAGGGAACGGTGGGTTGGGCTCCTGGGATGTGCAGGAGGGACCATTGTGTCCAGGTGCTTGGTGGGGAGATGCCAAGAGCTTGTGGGGTGCTTGCCCCAAATGGGGCAGCTCCTCTTTCCCCCTAATGCTGACACTCAAGAGCAGCCCTGTAACTCCTTCTGCTGAGGATGGGGTGATGGAAAGCAGAGCACGTAGTCACCTCCATGCTGGGCCAGTTTTTTCCAGGTCAGCAAAGACCTCCCAGCCATGTTCGTGAGCCGAGCTGGTGGAAGACATGCCCACTGTGTGCGGTTTTGTCCACGGCAGGCTCCTGACTCTCTCTTTCCCTCTTCAAGCCCTGCTTGACTCTCAGGTGACAGGAAACCTGGCAGCTCCCAGAGGCCATCCTTGCCTGCTGGGGGCCAGGGGAGCTAAAAGCAGGCTCCAGGAGGGAAGTGGTTTGGAGAGCAATGTTTGTCGGTGATGAGCACATAGCCACGCTGCGGGAGCAGTGTGGCAGCTGGAGCTGGCAGCCAAGCGCCTGTCCTGCTTGTTTTGGCTGACTTCAGAGACCTCTGGCTTTTGCTAGTAGCACTTGGATGTGCCGGTACTCAGGAGACCTGACCGGGCACATTCAGACAACGCCGAAAATATCTTCTTTGCAGGCAACAGAGGCAAAGGGGAGCCAGCAGCTGGGCTCCCCGAGAGACAGGCTGCAGAGGGATGGTTGTTTTACATGGGCTTGCTCTCTGCTGGTCAAAAACACATCCTATGGAGCCACTGCAGTGGCGCGTTTAAGGTGAGCCCAGTGGGCACCTGGGCCTCAGCTATGGAGGGGATGAGAGGCTAACTCTCCTCACAGGAGACAGGGCAGGGTGTCCCAGCTGAACACAGGCTCAGGCTCCCCCCAGCCCTTGCCTCCTAACAAGCTGTGCTGGCTGTTGTGGCAGGTACCTGGCAAAGCTGTCGTCAGTGGGAAGCATCTCAGAGGAGGAGACCTGTGAGAAGCTGAAGGGCCTGATCCAGCGCCAGGTGCAGATGTGCAAGAGGAACCTGGAGGTGATGGACTCGGTGCGGCGCGGAGCACAGCTGGCCATCGAGGAGTGCCAGTACCAGTTCCGTAACCGCCGCTGGAACTGCTCCACGCTGGACACCCTGCCCGTCTTTGGCAAGGTGGTAACACAAGGTGAGCCGGGAGGATGTGTGCTGGGGGTGAGGCTGCGTGGGGGAGCGGCTACAACAGCAGGCCAGTGGGCTGCAGGCAGGTTTCGCTTGCTGGCCCCCAAGCCAGTGGCTGGGGAGAGCAAGAAATGGCCCAGTGGTGAATCTTGGGACTGGCCGGTCTTCCCTGGGCATCTCAGCAGGGCTCTTTTGACTGTATTGGGAGCAGTATATCCAGACCCTTACAGTTTCTCAGCTGCTGGCTGCTTCCTCTCCTGAACCTTTCTCGCACCCAGTTGGTGCCCACTGTGTGTGACCAGCCCAGGGCATCCAGAGAGCCCGGACCTTACAAGGACCCGCCAAGTTCAAGTGAGGGCCCTAAAGTTGCCCTGCTGCCTCATCTCTTCCCTGCCAAGCCCAGGAGCTTTGCTCCACAAAGCCATGGCTGCATTTATTCCGTCTCTTCTCCGGGCAGCGCCGAAGCGGCGACCGCTGCCAGACTGGCGTGCCGCTCAACCGGAGCCGTCTGTGGGCGAGCCCTTGGGAGGACAGCCCTCTGCCGCCCGACACGAGTAAAACACGCGGCGGCTGGACCCTCCGAGGACAGCATCGTCGCCCACCACCGCCCCGCTGCCAGCCTTCCGGAGGGATTTATGGGCAGAGCAGCCCCCGGCCCCTCTGATCCCAGCTGCACCCAGGCATCCCGGAGGCACAGGGCCGTGAGCAAGCCGAACGAGGACGCAGAGCATCGGGGTGAGGAAGCGGAGGGGAAAGCCCCGCAGCAACCCCTGGAGACCACCGAAGCGGCCCTCGCCTCCCCTCAGGTGCCAGCGCCGTCTCTGATGCACGCTCTTGCTTCCCATCCCAGGAGCCATAGACCAAAGCCTCCCCCCCGCCCCGGCTCCTTGTTTGACTTTCCTCCCCTCAACACAGGGGTGAAGATCTCTTCTTGTGAAGGTTCAGGGACTGGAAATACCAGAAATACCAGAAACTAAAAGTCGTCTCTTTTTAGGCAGCCACAGCACAAACCGACCAACACGATCCTACTATTAACCTCGATTAACTTGGAGGCGGTTCAGTCCCTGCGCTGGCTGGGTCCTCCCCAGCCACTGCTGCCTGGGCCAGATTACAGCTGGGCCACCAAAGTCTGGGCTGCGACCACCAAAGTAGCTGTCTTCTGTCCGACCGGTGAGCCAGGGTGATGTCTGCTCACAAGCCATCCCCGCGACTACCCCAAATGCCAACCCTCGTCACTCAGAGATGGAGGGGCCGTGTCCTCAACAGGCCTCGGAGGATTTGGGTGTTGCAAGAGCTGCTCCCTGGCCATGCCACCCTGTGTGTTTATGCCCAGGAATGTCCCCTGACTTCCCAAACAAGCTCCTCCTAACCCTGTGGCACCACACAGGTAGACACAAGAGCTGGGAAGGGGCTGCACCCTGGAGACCAGCATGGCTTTGCAAGTGACTTTGGGAGCAGAGTGGGGTTTTGCAGGGTGGTTTGGGAGGTGCTGGGAGCTACAGGACCCTGTGTGAAAGGATGGCAAGGATCTGCAGCTGCAGCAGATGTTCCTGGATGTGGAAAACAGCCCAACTGTTTCAGATACAGGAGAGATTTCACGGCAGAGGTGCCCTGCAAGCACCAAGCCAGACAGTCTCTCCATAGAAGCTGTGGAGAGCTCTCTCCACATTGGCAATACAGCCTTTCCATCTCCCTCAGTGCCAGGTTATAATTTGCCCATTGCATTCATGTTTTTAACCTTGTGGGGCAGTTCCCAGCTCCTTCATTAGTGTGAGACAGGGCTCGCACTGGTGCAAATGCTCTCCCAGCGCCGAGGTGTCCCTGCTGAGACTGGTCCAGGCTTGGCACTAAGCAAACAGCATCCTTGGGAGGGGGGAGGATGAGTGTCCTGCATGGGGTACCCTCCCTTGGGAGGAAGACACAGAGCAAAGGGCTCAACTTCATAGCGCTGCATAGCATGTTTTGATAAGAGCCAGTTTTCAGACCAGCTTTTCAAGGGGATTTATGTGCAACACCAGCATCAGGAGGGAAGAGGAGCAGAGACTCATGTAACAGCCCACCGAGGGCCTTTGGCCACCTGGCTTCACGCCCTCCAGAAAGCCCTGCTGTGTGCACTGGACTGGCTGCCACGTTTCCCACCACCGTTTGTGCTGTTGCAGGGACACGGGAGGCAGCATTCGTCTATGCCATCTCTTCAGCAGGAGTGGCCTTCGCCGTGACCCGAGCCTGCAGCAGCGGCGAGCTGGACAAGTGTGGATGCGACCGCACGGTGCAGGGGGGCAGCCCGCAGGGTGAGCGCGCGAAAGCGGGGAGCTGGGGGGGGGGGGGGGGAGGGATGCAACATAGCCAGGCATGGAAACGGAATGGAAATGCTCCCTCTCTGGAGCCAACCAGAAAGGAGGAAAAAGTTTAAAAAAAAACACACCACCTCCTGTTAGTCCATTTGTGTCCCTCAAAAAGGCATCTGGGAGCACTGACCATGGCGCAGAGAAAGCATCCTGCCTGTGCGTGCCCCAGAGCCACGCTCCCCAGCTTCCCCAATCCCCTAGGCAGCCCAGCGAGCGGGTAGCAAAACAGAAGGGGGGCGGGTCAGCTGTATTTTAGGAAGAGCAGGGCTAGAGAGGATGAGCAACACAGGCTGGCTGTATCTGTCTCATCCATGCTCTCTGCCTTAGGCTTCCAGTGGTCGGGCTGCTCCGATAACATCGCCTACGGCGTGGCCTTCTCGCAGTCCTTTGTCGACGTCCGCGAGAGGAGCAAAGGGGCCTCTTCCAACAGAGCGTTAATGAACCTCCACAACAACGAGGCAGGGAGGAAGGTAACGGTGAGGGGGAAACCTGGGCACCTGGGGTGGCTCTGCAGCATCCCAGCTGGGCTCTGCAGCCATTGCTTGAGCCGCTCTGGCTTTGTGTAATCCCGTCAGCTCACGTGCATCAGCATCGCTTTCCGCACAACCCTTCCAGACCCCATACATCGCACCCTTCTTGCTGGGTCCATCCCGAGCTCACCATCCCTGCTTGTTTCTTCTGTCTGTTCCTCTAGGCGATCCTGAACAACATGCGGGTGGAGTGCAAGTGCCACGGCGTGTCAGGCTCCTGCGAGTTCAAGACGTGCTGGAAAGCCATGCCCCCCTTCCGCAAAGTGGGCAACGTCCTGAAGGAGAAATTCGACGGTGCCACAGAGGTTGAGCAGAGCGAGATTGGATCCACCAAAGTGCTGGTGCCCAAAAACTCCCAGTTCAAGCCGCACACGGACGAGGACCTCGTCTACCTGGACTCCAGTCCCGACTTCTGTGACCATGACCTCAAGAACGGGGTGCTGGGCACCAGCGGCCGGCAGTGCAACAAGACCTCCAAGGCTATCGATGGCTGTGAGCTGATGTGCTGCGGCCGGGGGCTTTCATACGGACGAAGTGGAGGTTGTGGAAAGGTGCAGCTGCAAATTCCACTGGTGCTGCTCCGTCAAGTGCAAACCCTGCCATCGGGTGGTGGAAATCCATACGTGCCGGTGATGCACAATGATGGATGAGCGCCCATCCATCCCCCTCTTTAACTGACCCTGCTTCTCCCTTGCCCCACGGCCAGGACTGAGGAAGTAACCCAGATGCTGCAGGGAGAGCGCAGCTCTTTACAGAGACAGAGCCCCAGAGGAAAGCAGATTTTAAAGAAAAAAAAATATTTAAAGTTTCAAAAAATTGATCATTGTTGGCTTGTTTTGTTTTCTTGCTTTATTTATTGCTGAAGCCAGAGGCCCTCGGTGTCCTGTGCCAGCAGGGATGTGTCTGCTCTCAGCGGCTGGCTGGGCACCTGCGTGATGCCTGGTCTCATCGGATGAGCTCCTGCTGACCCTGGAGCATTGCAAGTGGGAGGTGTTTAAGCCGAGGCTAGCGTTAGGCGCTCAGTACCTTCTATCACGGTTATTTTTATTTAAGGCACACGCTGAGCATCCCAGAGCGCTGCTTGCCTTGGCTGAGCTGCAGGAGGGGATGGAGCCAGCGTGTGCAGCCAGGTGCACTGCAGAGGATGGGCAGATGGGGACAGGGTGGCACTGTCCCCCGGAGTTAAGCTCCAGACGGGGAGAGCCCAGCCAGGGTGATCAGTATATGAGGGGGAGGCGGGACCCTCCTGCCTCCCCTTGTTGTGGGATGCTCGATGGACTCCTGAGCACTGGGTGTCAGAGCAGCTCCAGTGGCCACTCTGATTTACAGAAGCTCCTCAGCAGCTCCAGGGCTGTCAGAGGACACAATGTTCCCACTGTGCTCCCCTTCCCCTTGTGCAAGTCACCTTCCCCCCTTGTTTATCCAGCATCTTGTTCAACTGGAAACTGTGAAGAGGGTCCAGAGAGGCCATGGTACCTGCAATCCGATGACTCTTAATGGAGCTGGGAGCTGATGGGAGGAAATCCCAGGGGATTTCTTTTCCTCCATATTTGCCCCCACCTTGCTCAACAGCATCCCACAACCAGGTCTCTTCTTCTTCTTCCTCATGCCTGTTCTCTACACCTGGTGAGGGCTCTAGGGGGACTCCCTGTCCTGTTGGCTGTTGGGAAAAGCAAAAAATACAAAGTGGAGCAATTGTCGGGAGTGGCGGAATGATGCTGCTGAGGGGAAAGGCAATGCTCACGCTCTGCCACTATTGCTGTCTTGCCCTCAGGAAGCGTGAGAGGAGGGCTGAGCCGGAGGGATGCTGTCATGTGTGCCTCGACCACTGGGATTTAGTGCAGCAGGGCCCCAGCTGCCCTGTCTTGCTCCCCGCAGGCTGGCCTGGAGCGATGCCACGAGGATAACGCGCTGTCCTGCCCGCTCCGGCTTCCTCTCTGCCTGGGATCGGGTTAGTGCAGAGTCCTCACTGCCGGGCTGCAGGACGAAATATTTGGAGAACTAATAAGCAGAGGGGCACTGCGAGGGGAGGTGGAAAGCAAACTGGTTCCTCTCTCCCTCACACACTTGTCTGCAAGTTGAGAGGCAAAAGGGGAGCAGAGAAAAAGCTTGAAATGGCAACTCGAGCCAACAGGAACATCTGCCCACAGTGCGGTGAGGATTCAGCATGTGGTGGCATTGCTGAGCCCTCCTGTGCAAGCTGGGAGCTCCCTGCATGGTCCAGAAAATCCCAGAGCTGTGACCACCAACCTCTGGGCTGGAGGAGGGGGTCCTTGCAAACCTGCAGTCTTGTTTTTCTTCCTTGCTTCATCTTGAGGGGGGGAAAGGTTGGGGGGACATGCAGACATACGTTAAATCCTGTCTGTGCTGTGGCAGTGATGGGCTGGGGGAGAGTCTGTGGTCGCTGGAAGGTCTCCAGACACCGTCCGGCTGGAAGGCTGCTGACAACTGACTTGAAGCAGTACAGGGCAAGGGAGGTTTGCATCGAGGCATCCCCCCCAGTATGCCCCAGCTGCCTCCCTCCTGCCTGCTCAGCCCTAGCCTTGAAGAACCTTCCGCAAAGGGTGCCAGGGGGCTGAAACCCTGGGCAGACCCCGAGGTGGAGCCACCATGGGGTGACCCACTTCAATGCAAACCAGAGATCTCCTCACCAGAGCAGGGATTGCCTCGCTCAATGGCTCGGTTGATCAAGGGTGCAACATCAAAGCCCCAGGGAGGGGATCTAAGTTTCACCCCCCACCAGCTCCATCTCTTTAGCCCCCCAAGGCTGCACGATCTCAAGTACCTTGGAGACTGTTCCTCCTCTTCCCAGCTCATGCAGAGGAGGTTACAGACCTCAGGCCACTGGCCAAGTTTTCTGCTCATTGTCCATCTAGGATGAGGGCCAAAGCTGAACAAGACAATCCAGATCAGTGTGGAGATAATATCTGCACACAGGATTTTTTCAAGCTGCGATGAAAGCTGAGCCCTGTAAATGTCACCTGGAGATACCCCGGCTCTGCAACACTCCGGCTCTTCTCACAACTGTAAATTTCAGCACTGGGAGCGGGTGGGAAATACCTTTTTTTCATATTTACTTTGTCTATTAAATAGTAAGTTTGCGATGAATGAGCCATGGGGTCATGTTCTAGCCGTCAGGCTCCACTTGGCTGTGTAAAACCAGAACATGCTGCAAGCACCTAGTTGTTGGTCATCTCCTGAGAGTCCTCAGCTAGGAGGAGATGTGCCCACATGATGCCTCTTGACAGCGCAAAGGGGACGCTGAGGCTGTCCTTGTCCTCCTCCTGTCTCTCCTTGGGCGATGCTGATGTTCAGACCACAGGCTGCATCCCTGCTTTCCCATCAGTGGAAGGAGAGCTTGCTTGCTAATCTTCTGCCTTAACCAACCGATACACCCCTGGCTTAAGAGGCCACTCATCTTAGATTTCAGTAAGTCTATGACTTCCTCCTGTCGAGAAGGTGATGATTTTCATCTGCTCAAAACAGTGCTCTCCTCCCCTGCCTGCAGCCAAGGGGCCACAGCTGCTACATGTGCTGCTGGAATCATCTCGCCAGTGGTCTCGAGGTGCATTTGGGCTGGGACGGGCAAGAGCTGCCCACAGATGCAGTCAGGGACCTGCCATCCCTCACCTCCATCCCTGTGCTATGGAGTGCTGGATTTGGAGAGGATACAGGCCCAGATGCCCAGCATTCTCCAAGCTGCCCCCAGCCAGCACATTTCACTTGTCTCTTGTCCTTCCACAAGCCAGAGGTACTCAGCTGCGTCCTCTTCACACCATTCCCTACAGTCTGGAGCTGCTTGCTTCAGCACGGGCTGCTGCTGGGTCCAGCTGCACTACCACTGTGCCTTGTCTCCTTTCTTTCGTTGTAGCTCTCCATTTTTGTGCTCTCCAAGCTCACCTTTCCACAGGGTTCATGGTAAAACCAATGGCTTCTCTCACTTTGGCCTCCATGGGTGGCAGGGGTTGAGGGCTATCATTTTAAGTTTAACCATTATTGCAGAAATAGGATGGTAAGATGGGAGAAAGTAAGCCTTGAGCCTCCAAAAAACCCTTCCTTCAAATGGCTCCTCTCTTCCCCTGGAGGGTCTCACCTCACAACCTCCCAGCTCCATCCCTTCCCCTTCCCACTCCAGCTTCAGCCCCAGGTGAGGGACTGTGCCCATGACCCCTCATCACCTCCTAGCATAGTGGTGAAACAAAACATGCTTCACCCTCGTGCTGAAACAAGGTGCAGGGAGATGCCAGCTTCTCTGCGACTGTGGACAGAGCAAGACGCTCACGTGCCTCCTCCTCCAGTGCCACCCACCCACTCAGCACGTCCCCTACATCCCCCATACATCCAAGAACATCCTGCTGAGCTTCTCCCCACCACTGCATCCCGCCACACACTCGCCCCCGTCCCAGCCCCACAGACTTGGCACTCAGTCCTCGGCCCCCTTGACACCCTCTCCCTGGTGAGCTCATCTCTCCTCCGAGGACACGCAGGCTGACATCTCCACCCAGCCTCTTCCGCTCGTAAACCTTCCTGGATGTCCCACTGCCAACTCGAGATCATCGTGGCAAAAACAGGACATCCCTTGCAAGTCCTCCCCACCCTGCTCCAGTGGATGGGTAACTCCATGGTTTTTTCTCACTTCCCAAACTCCCAACTTCACCACCATCGTCTGCTCCTTTTTTCTTCACCTTTTCTCCTGGAAAACCCACCCCCATGTGTCAACCACAGCTACTCCATGCTCTGAGCTTCACGTTTGCCAACTCTCCACCCTCCAGCCTGAGCACAATACAGCCAAGTGCCTGGGCAGAGCTGACACTTCTCTCCAGCTGTTTTGGCCACATCACCCTCGTGCCCTTTATTGGCCATGAACACTTTCATCACTCCCAACTATCTCATCCTCCCTCCCCGGGCATGCTCAGCCCCACCCACCACTCTCCTCGCAAAGCAATTAAACCACCATGGGTGATATTAACAGGGCTCAGGCAGAGCAGCATGAATTAGTGCTCACATCCTTTCCCTCCCTTACACTGTCAGCAAACATAATAGCAAATCCCTTTGCATATTCCTGCAGTGGCAATCACAGTTATTTTCCTGTATCTCCTGCTCTCCCTTTATCCACATGAATTTACCAGCTGGCTGTAGGGAAGCTAGATGATGGAGACAGCGGGAAGCAAGAGCCTGGGACCACCGAGAAAAGATGCTTTAAGGATGGGATGGCGTCTCTCTGCATGGGCAGATGTCAGAAGAGGATGAGTCCTCCTTATAGCTGCCACATCACGGGAACTGGAAAAGATGGGTCTCCCCTCAGTGTGGCACAGGAGCACCCACACTGGGGTGACCAGTGCTCCCACCTACACTTGCTGAAGATGTCAGCGATGTCTCGGCTGCCCGGCCGCTCCCTCCGTCAGCCCCAAAGCCGCGGCAGAAGGCCACGCGGAAGGACGCCCGGCGGAGCAGAGCCTTTGACAGCAGCATGATCCCGTGACAGTGGGAGGGCACCCAGCCAGCGCTCCTCAGAGAGGCCTCCCGACCCTGACTGCCAAAATCCTGCTTTAAGTACAGGAAAATAAATTGTGCAACCTGCTTTAGACTGGATTGTAACACCCAGTGCAGGCAGAGGGGGAGGAAGGGGCAGGAACCAGGCTGAGGATCAGGCCCCGCATCTCAGCATTTAGGCTAGGCCATGCCAACACCTGGTGCTAGAGCAGTGCCTGCCCCCCTCCTCGTCTCTCTCAGGTGTACCTGGGAGGTTTCTGCAGCCACAGAGCTCCTCCTCAGGGGTCACAGAGATGTGGTCACACACAAGCCTCATCCTTGTGCCTGTGCTTGGACCTCCGGAGCCACGATCTCCCTCCTGCCCTGGCAAGGCGTTCCTCCCCCCATCCCAAATCTGACCATTAATATTTCCTCAAGCCCTTGAGCAAGGCATGTTGGCTGGGTGAGTCTCCGTACCACTGCAGATCCCCAACCTGCCCTGAGCATTGCCTCAACATCAGAGGCATGGTCCAAAGTAGCTGAATTGTACATCAGGGGTCTTCTCCTTCTGGATCTCCACCGGTCGTGAGTGAATGCACAAATTACAAGCCTCAATTAGAATCAGTTGCTCAGACGTGCAAAAAAAAAAAACCCCACCCAAAAACCCTCCGCAGCTGTTGAGCCCACTTGTCCCTCCTCCCAGCTCGGATCGAGGACAGTTGTTGCACTAGCACAGCTTTGCTCCCGTAATTGCAGCCACTTGAAGCAGAGGCAAGACGGCGTAGAAATATCCATGTGAGCTCCTCCACGTGCACACCACGAGTGAGAGTTATTATAGGAAGGCATAATAAGAAGGGGTTGGAAAATGCAGTGGTCTGTCTCTTCAGCTGTCCAAGCATCCCTGAGCTGGGTGGCAGCCAAACTCAGTCCATGAGAAAGTCTCACCACTGCCTCCAGCCCTTTCCAAAAGAAGGCCATTAAGCAGGGTTGCAAAGCAGGCAAGCACCAGTTGGATAACCTCCCTTCACAAGTGACTACTGGTGACCAGGAACCAAAACCACGATGGCTGGTCACCTCTCCCAACTGCCTTATCCCCAGGGCCCCAGGAGGAGGTCTCACAGAGGTACAAACACCCTTTGCCAAAACAGAACCGCTGCTCCTGAAGGAGGAGCTCAACAAAACTGTGACTTCTTCCCCACACCACGAGAAGCCATCAGCTTCTCCAGTTCCCATCCTTTGGCCTGCAAAGATGATTTCAACCACATGCATGCACAAGCACTGCTTTGCTGGTTCTGAAGCAAGAGATGCACAATCTGCTTCCACCACGTATCAAGGAACTACCAGGAAAAGATGTAGGACACCAAAAGTGCTACTACACTCTCCCTCTTATCTACAGTTTCCACCAAAGAAACTCAAAAGACTCGGCACCTGACAAAGCATGCAATTTACAGCCCCAAAACCTCAACTCTTCTGAAGGAGACAACATTGGTGTATGGAAGTTTATCAGTAAATGGATCCTGAATCCAAGAATTAGAAATTTTAAAAGGAGTTTTCAGGCTGCTTCTGAAAAAG